CCCATAACCAATAGGAATAGGGTTATTACAATAATGCACTGTTAAGCGCATTTCTTTATGACACAAATTAGATGGAATGATTAATAATTTAAAGTTTTTAAATATGAAATATCTTCATCACAATTATTGAACATGTATCTATTTGGGACACAAATTTCATGGGATAATAAGAAATTACAAATTTTATGTTTAAATTAAGCATGTTTTTTTTTAAATTATGCATGAAATAAAGCATTTTTTATGCTAACAAGAATTAGGTCAATTGATAAGAAAGTAAATCTTTTAAGTGCCGATTAAATATATAAATCACTAAAACGAGTTATTCAGCGCATGAACATATTCTTGCCAGCAACACAAATTAGATCAAGAAATGAAAAAATTATAAATTTAAAATATCTACTAAATGTATGTGGCACAATTAAACGAATTTTCGGCAGTGGAAATGAAAAAAAAAAAGAAACTACGAATCTCAAGTACTTTTCAAATAGGTTCATCACAATTATACTCTTTTTAAGCGCAATGCTTTGTGACACAAATAGCATGGATTGATAAGAAATTAAAAATCTTCAATACTTTATAATTCTCAATGCAATTATAGAGTGTGGGGCACGTTCTACTTTTGGCACAAATTAGATGGAGTAAGCAATAAAAACTATATATCTTAAATACCTCATTAAAAAGTATTAACACAATTATTCTCTATTGAACTAATACTTGGTTAGGATATGCTAATTAGATGAAATGATAAAAAATTATAATAAATACTTATTACATGCTAGAAGGCGAAGCTCCTTTTTAACTCGAAGATTGCAAATGTTGTTTCGTTACATAAAACAGTTTCTTCGACCAAAGATGGAATTATTTACACAAAGAATTCTTTTTTGTTTTCTCTTTATGCTTCTCACGCCCAATATTAATTTCCTTAAATTAAATGTTTATTTTGAATCAAATTTGAATATTGAATAGTATGAAAGATCTCTTCATTCAATTATGTACTTTCCTTTTTTAAAAATAACATTTAAAATGAAAGGTTTGTTATAACAAATTTGGGGAGTTCACCAACTTAATTTAATAGTATCGCCTACCCAACAGGCATTGAATATAATTACTCCATGCATCACAACGTGCAGGAAGCTGTTCGTAAAATTCTAAATCAGCAAACAAATCTTTTTAACGCTAATTTATAGTAACTTAATTTATACCAAAAATAATATTTTTAAAACGGATAATAGGTTTAGACACTGATTCAAATAAAAGTACCTTGAAATGTAGCGTAATAAGGTAATATCATAGAATTACGTTATAATAAAGAAAAAACTCTTTTAGTTTTAAACTTTTAATTTAGAAAATAATCAAAATCTAAATTGTAATAATATCAAAGTAAAAAGAAAAAAGAAAAATCGATATTATCGGTAAATATCCTTTTTAATTTGGGATACAAAAATATTTTAGAAGAAAACGATACCCTTATGACTTTCAATAGTATATAACTAAAACAATATAGAAATTATTGTGAGAAAACTGGGTCCTACCATGTGCTTTTCTGGTCAGTAAAAACTGCACCGACAACAATTCAAAACTGCACCATCATTAGATTTTTATACATAGTTAAAAATATATCACAAGTATGCTCTATTAAGCGCATTTTCTTATTGTGATACTAACTAATAATGCGCATTACAACTATGCACAATAAACAATTTTTCAATTCGATGACATAAAATATATAAATCTTTAATACTTAATATAATAGTATGTCATACTTATCCTGAATTTGACAAATTTTTAATTGAATTGCTAATTAGAATGATTCGAAAATGATAATCTTACATTTCTATTAAATAAGTATATCGTAATTATACGCTCATAAATAAATTTCTAATTGTCGCATAAATGAATGGTATGTGAACGTTCACTCTCTAACTTATCTCTAATTCTGACACAAAAGAGATTAAATGATTAAACAATCATAAGACTTAAGCACTTATTAAATATGAATATCGTACTATTTCTTCTCGTAACAAAATAGATGCGGCCTTCTTTTGTTTAGATAAATGCAGCTTAAATGCGGTAAATATAAAGAGGAGAATTGAAGCCTCCTTTTTATACTGTCTTCATAACAATTAAGCATTAGGAACATTTTTGAAAGTCTCCGTTTCTAAAGACTATTCACGCCATTTATTCATTGTACTGAATTTGATTGACGCCAAAATAACCTTTAGCTTATTTCTTCATTGTCAGCAACACAATACCTCTCTTCCAATTCAAAAATGTGCATTTTAAATTACTTTTAGGCTAATTAGAACCCTTCGAGTTGTGATGATATGCCCTGTTATTGATGACTACCTGCTCCATCTTTGGCGAAATACTGTATCGCCATACGTCGCCAAAGATTTGCTGGCAATTCAAAATGAGGGCGATTTCTCAGAAATTGCTAATGCGTGTTTTAGTAAAATATTTTAATGTTTGTACTTATTATACCATTATTGATGATTTATGTTCACTGTTGGACTCTAATGATGAGCTAAGTCTAGAATGTATATTTCAGGTATAATTGCTCCATTAGTCAATGGTTAATAGCCGTTTAACTGCGTTTAAGTTCGATAAACATTTTTATCAAATATGTGTTAATTTACTCTTCTTATTTAAAATGAGGGGAAAAGGAATTAGGAAGCACAGGCTTCAATCTTAAGGATGCACCCGAATTTGCACAACAAGATTTACTCACATTTTTTTTTTCTAAAATAACTTAAATTTCTCTTAGTATTATTTTTAAAAATTACGTCATTGTTTCGCTTTCAAAATGAATTGCTTGAATCTGAAATTTTTAGCATGCTGTATCGTGAAGCAGGTTAACTTAATCTTCAAATAAAAAGTATTTTTCACTTTTAATTTAACAATCCATTATTTTTATTTTTAAATAACTTAGTCATGTTTTCAATAAATTTTGGAATCATGTTATTTATAATTAATTATTTTACAATAAAAGTTATTAATATGATAATTTAACCCTATGTGGTCATAACAGTTTTAACATAGTTGTTATACTAGTCCTAGTTCATTTTAGTTTGAGATGATTTAACTTTATGATGGATTGGAAAAAAATATTTTTAAGCAGACAAAACATTAAAACACTCTAGCACAATCTGTAAAATATTATTTTGAATTTAATACTTTAGTATCTCCAAAGCATATAGACCTAATTGGAAAAAAAACAGGTATTGTAATTTGGTGTATAGTGGCTGAGAGCAGAGATACACGTCGGAAACGGTAAAAAAGATGTGATGGCTGAGATCAGAGATACACGACTGAAACTGTAAAAACAGTTTTGATGGTTGAGACCAGGAATACACAGGTGAAGTGGGGAAAAAAGTTTTGATATCTGAGCGCAGAGATACACGACTGGAACAGTATAAAAAATTGCGGTGGCTGAGAACAGAGATACACGATTGGAACGGTAAAGAAAATTTTGATAGCTGAGAGCAGAGATACACGACTGAAACAGTAAAATAAAAGGTTTCGTGGCAGAGCAGAGATACGCGACTGAAACTGTAAAAGAAAGTTTTTGTAACTGAGAGCAGAGATACACGACGGAACGGTAAAAAAAAAAGGGTTCGTGGCTGTGAGCATAGATAAGCGACTGAAACTGCAAAAAAAATATTGCAGCTGAGAGCAGAGATACACGACTGGAACGGTAAAAAAAAAAGTTTTAGTGGCTGAGAGCAGATATGTGATTGAAACGGAAAAAAAAAGTTTTGGCTTCGAAAATCAGTGATACACAACTGCAGCTGGGAAAAAAATTGGTGACTGAGAGCAACAATATAAGACTGGAACTGTAAAAAAGTTTTGGTGGTTGAGAGAATAGAGATACACTACTGGAACGGTAAATTGACATAATTTTTGCCTTTTTTGTATCTAGTTTGAACTTACAATAATAGTATTTCTAGCCTGTGTTTAAACACTAGGAAATTTTGTTGGAAATTTAATGTGCACCATTTTTTTATAAAATATATTATTTACAAAGTTAAATTTTTCTCAACCTAGCAAATCTTATTTCATAGTTATCAAGTAAATTACATTGCACTGTTTTATAAAATCGAAATGACAAAATACTTTATATTTACGTTTCATTCGTATTCATACTTTACACATCATTAAAAATTTGCTCTTTTCCAATAAAATAGTAGGACCTTTTTTATTCTAACAAAATTAGTTTTTGCCTTTTATTGTGTATCTTTTATAGTCTCAAATATTATTCTAAAGTTTAATATTGCTCAACTAAACAAATTGGCTTTTAAAAGTTATGAAGTAAATGACTTTTCATAGCTTTTTTTTTTATTAAATACGAAATTGCAAAATTCTTTATATTTAATACATTCCAAGAAAATATTACGAGCCTTTTTGTTCCTGCAAAATTAAGAATTGACATTCAGATATGCACCACTTTTAGTTACCAATATTAATATTAAAGTAAAATGCTACACCATTAAACAAATTGCTTGGACAGAAACATAAAGTAAATTATCTTCTATCTCTTTTTTTATAAATTCAAAATTACAAAACGTAATGGTCAATGTTTAAAATTAAAAAAATGCAGTTTGTGTAATAAAGATAAGCAAGTTGAAAATAAGATATTTTGTAACTTTATAGCTAGTTTAAGCTTACTTTATAATGACTATTTCTTAAGAATCTAGTTCTAGCCTATGCGTTCAAACAAAATTAAATTATAACATTTAGTATGCACCGTTTCTTTTAATACGATTATTAACATAAAGTTAAACGTTTTTTCGGCAAACAAATTGGCTTGCAAGAGTCAGCAATCAAGTACTACTTTCTTCTAATTGGAAAACTAATTACACAACTTTTATTATGTTTTTTTTATCTTGTAATGTTTGTTTTTGTTATGCTCAGAAACAACTTTAATCATTCATCAAACAATCCTTTCTTCTCCGACTTCTGTTATTCTTTTTGAGACGTTCTTTTTTTTTTCTTCAGGATTATCCTAGTCGCTGCAAGAAGAAAGAAAATAAGATTTAGCAATCCGTGCAGGATGAAATAATAATAATAAAGAAAAGAAGAAAAAAAAGCTTCGAGAATCCCGTCTTCTTCATCTTTCAAGAAGCCAAAAGTAACCGAGGATGAAAATTTCTAGAAGTGAGGAAAAACGATAAGAACTCTTTTCTTTGTGGAACGGGTAAGATTCTAAGTTCTTGTGTAATATTCTGATAGCTTTTACTTTCTTCTTTTTATAACATCTTTTTAAGATCCATTCTTTTTATGGTAAAAAATTTTCTTTTATGAATGAGTTTGGATGGTGGTTTTTTTTTCTAAAACTTATTATCAAATGAAATTTTTCTTTTTTTAATAACAGAATAACTGCTTTTTGAAGTGTCATTGCTAAAGATTACAGTGTTGTTATATATTTCAAACAGTGTTGAAAATAATATGTTGCCTATAAAATAAAGGAATAAACTAATGCTGAGTATACATGTGGAATAATATGTTTTTTTTTATTCATCCAATCTTTTAATAGCTGTTCAAAAAATGTTCGCTAATTTGAAAAATCAATTTAAAACAGAAGCGAAAAAAAATATACAGAAACGTACAGTTTTCTCAATTCTACTTTGAGAACGAGAGGATATTTAATTTAGGAAATTCTGATATTGGTAACAAAGTTAAACAACAGATGGCATAACTGAATTTAAAAAAAAATTTAAATTAATGTTTTCTGCCACATCTCAGACCATTTCAATTGAAATGTTTCCTGAACGAATGTAAATTTTGTCTTCTGAGTGCGATCGTTGCTGCTGCAAATTTTAGTTATTTTAAAATAAAATATGTTTTATAATTGTTCACAGTTTATACTGCTATTAATTGAGTAATTTCGAAAAGTATAAATCACCTGGTTTCCTAAGCATAATGCAACAAACCGTGCATTTCCATCTTTCCATCAACGCTATTTTTCAGCAAAATTTTAATTTTTTTTTTTTCTTTTTTTTTAANTTTATTTTTTTTTTTTTTTTTTTTTTTTAAGGGGGCATCAGGATAGGTACTTTGACATTATATGTTTATTCCACGTCATTTAGGCCATTAGGGCTAGGAATATTTGGCGTTATTAAGGTTATTCCACTGTTATGAACCATTAGGGTAAAAAATATTTGACTTTATTTGTGTTCTTTCATGATAAATAGGTCAATAGGGTTAAGAATATTTAACATTATTAGGGTTATTCCGTGACAAATAGGACATAGAATATTTTATTAGAATATTGATTTGATGAAACAGATTGAAAACCGATTTTTAGATTTAGGAAAGCCTACACCTGAAACTTCAGAAACGCTCAGAGGCTTATCAAACTAAAGTACTTTCTAAAAACTGTGTAAGTAAAAAATACAATAATGAATAAGTAGGAGGAATTCTATATCAAATGGCATGAATTAAATATGATAAGTAAGTTTTACTTAATTTTAAACTGGCTAATTATGCAATAAATAGATTTTTTGTTTTATGTTTACATGTAGAATACTAAAATCAAAAGGCAAGAAATAAATAACATCCAACGTAGAAAAAAAAAAAATTTTTTTGCATTTTTTAATTTGCTTTCTCTAAAATAATTTTATTAATGTCTTAGAAATGCTGGAACTCTGTGAAGCAAAATAAAATGCATTAATGTTATGAAAACACTTTATGTCTAATGTAGTAGTTACGAAATGTTATTTTGATACATAGTTATTAAGAAAACAATAGTTATGTGAAACTTCTCTTTCAAAATGAATAATTATCTGATATAGTTTAGTTTGAAAAGTACTTTTCGGTTCACCGGGCGCAAGTTAAGAGTCGCCAAAAATGTAGGCCTTCTCTGACTTTTTTTTAAAATTTATTTTTGTTATTTTTTTAAACACACAAAAATTAAATAAAAATGAATAAAATAAATAGTTAAATTTTCTTGTTCCCCACTAACAGAAAAGTAATGAAGAAATCTATAGATATACGAATCAATTATAATAAAATCAATATTTATATGATATAGCTATTATGAAATAATAATTATATGACTTTATTATATATGAAATAATTACTCTGATATGAAAGGTAATTTTTCAAAAAGTTATTTTGTGTCAATAAAATTATTTAAGAATAAAAATTAAAAACATTTTGAAATGAAAAAAGTTTTTTTTTTTTTTTTTTGGAAGAAAAAAAANTTAGTTTTTTTTTTTTTTTTTTTTTTTTTTTTAAAGAATATAAAAGTTGGAATTTGTTTTGGTAAAAAATTAACTCAGTTATTAACAAATTAAAGGTAAGTCATAATTAAGTTTATTGACATATTTATTTTTACTTTTATCTTTAAATACATCATGTTTATGACTAAATTTAATTTTGTCCAAAGCAGTTTTACCTCAAGAAATTCGTAAACTCAAAACATCGGTTTTACTTAAATTTATTCCCTAACGTGATCATGAATAGACATTTTGGTTAGCTTATTTCTCTCTTTTTTCCATAAAAAAAAATGAAAGTAGTACTGCGAATTTGCATTTCTATCAGGAACCATATGTACTCATGGTAAACGCAAGGTCTTTCAATTTTTTTTTATTTTGCTGCGAGCACGTGGTACAATTTTATCGTCTGCTTTTACTAAACAGTTTATTCTTTTGTATTGACAGAGCAAAATAGTATATTTAGCTAACTCACGTCCTGGTTTGAAGTATCTGATTTCGTATTTAAATGGAATTCTAGGTTTTCAACAGTTTCCGTTTCCTCTGTTTGACTTTACCGCTTTTGTACTACCTACACAACATGTTTCTCTCTTGGCGAAAGAAATGCGTTTCTGCTGAAGAATCGCCGAAAAGTTTTCTCAGGGCATGGAATGTGTTTTTATCGAATCAATTTTCAAATAAAGTTACGAGTTTATGGAGGGCAGAATTTGGAGCTGCATTTTGAGAAGGAAACATAAAGTTTCCGATATCAAGTTCCGAATCATATTTGCAGAGTAACGTTTGTGTGGCAACTTGGTTAGAAAATTTAGCAAACAAGCCTTACAAGTTCTCTTAGAATGTTAAAGAAATTTCGTTTTTAATAATTATTTATGTTTTTAAACCGATTAAATATTTAGAATATAATAGAGAAATTTTTGTTAGTGATAGATATTAAAAAAAAGGAATTTTTATAGGCAGTTGCTGGGTATAGTCTAAAATTATATCCATTAAAATAATAACGGCGTTATATAGCTATTAAAATAATAATTATAAATAATGATGGCGTTTGGCACAGATACTCAAATCTAAAAATTTATTAATAAACCTGGTGTCGTCAAAGACATAAAAATTCAAATAATTAAATGGGCTAGCCACATTATCAAAATGAACGAAAAACAATAAAGACGAAAAGTATTTTTGGCCTAGCCCATTGGAATAAGAGTTAAGGAGAGATCCAACCTCAGATAGTTTGACTACCTAGAAAAGGGATTTTGTCATCCTGAGAGTGAATAATTGGAAGACCACTGCCATAAAAAAGAGTGACTAAAAAAATCTTGAGAAGGCTAAGACCCACCTAGGAATGTCGTGGAATTGATGAGGAATAATGTCTCAGAAATAGTTCTTAATAAGCAACTGCGGTGACCATGTTAAGATAATTTAAATAACCAGTTCTCTTCGTTATATAAACTGGACGTCTCATTTGTTAATTTTTTTGGATACTTAACGCTGTGAAGGACCAATAAGTGTTTTAGACTGCTTTTCCAAGTTGCTGCCAACGCGAACATTGGTTTATATAACCAATTAGTGCTAAATTTTAAATCACGATGCATTCACGATTTAAACAGCGATGTTTAACAAAATCTCGGAATATAGATTTTTTAAATTTTGCTCATAGATATTGTTTTTCAATTGTTTAATATTGCGTTACTGAAGTCAATTTTATTAACAACCACAAAAAAAAATATCTCGCAAAATTTTCATAAACTTTATGCTTAAAACTCATCAGAATATAAATTTCGAGCTTAAAACATTCTCAAGTTGTTTTCTGCTATGACACAAAACTTTGTGTGTATTAAAAAAGTTGTAAGGGCCTCTCTTTTGGCTAAGAAATCACGAAGGTTTTTGTTGAAAATTGCGTAGGAGATTACCGTAGAATAAAAGAATTTATAAATAGTCTAAGATTTATAAACTGCTAAACTTGTAGCAAAAGGTACCATCCACGCACGTCACTCTGCGGAACGCGGGGGTACAGCTGTAGAGCAACAGAGTTAGTTGTTCTGAAAAGGATCATTTTGGTAATGAAAACGAGCTTTTTTTTTTATAAATTTTAATTTATCTTACGTACTTTATTTATTTATTTTATTTTTTTACGCTATAGGGCTATTTTTTTAAAACTATAGGGCTATTTCATAATTTCAGTTTTCTAATTGAAATTACGGAATCGTGAAAAAAAATTTTGAAGGAGTACGATGCAATAAAAAAGAATTTAAATTCGGTTATTGGTTTAAGAATTTACAACTGTCAAATTGGACTTACAAGGGAAACTAGGGAAGTGTGACTCACCAATTTTGAAATAAACTAGTGGGATGTATGCCTTATGAGGAATAATTTTAGGGCGCAACATTCGTTTCGGCCCATAGAAGGTTCTGTGAGAGATAAGAAATAATTCAATATATAGAAAAATCGGTATTTTATTATTCCAATGTATTGTCCAATGTAATGCAAGTTATTGTAATTATCTCATACTCCAATTAATTTTGTGGTACTTCACGTACTATATAATGCATATTTATTGTCAAAATTGAGTTCGGAAATTTTATATATCTGTAGTTTTTCAGAAAAACCTGTTAGGTTAATTTTAAAAAAAAAATTGACATTAAATTTTTTTTTTCCAAAAAATTTTCCAAATTAATTGGTGTATGTAATTGCAAACCAATTAATGAATTATTAATAATTAATTAATAATTAATTAATTTATTACTTTGCAAATTAATTAATTAACCAATTAATTACAAATTAATTGAAGTATGAGACAATTACAATAACTAATAGTCTGCATTGAAGTAATAAAATAACGATTTTTCTATATATTGAATTATATTTTATTTCTCATAGGACCTTCTATGGGCTGAAAAGAATGTTGCCCCCTAAAATTATTCCTCATAAGGCATACATCCCACTAATTTATTTCAAAATTGGCGAGCCACACTTCCCTAGTTTC